AACGGGAAATCATTGCGTAGTGTTTCATTTGATCTATATTGGTTTTAATTTGGTTTAAAAGTTAATGGGCAGATTGGGGAAGAGAGAGAGAGTAAGAGAAAGTTTGGTCAGAAATGTCCTCAAATATGAACTTAATTTTTACTTTTATTATTCCAAAAGAAGTTCCGATAATTAACACACTTACTCAGGAGTGACAATAACGGTGCCTTCTAAGTTTTCTAAATACGTGTGTGTGGCTACTATGGCGATGCCTATAAAGAAAAAAGTGGGGAGAACTATCTTCCTAGACCTCGGAGTTCGGCAGGCCAGATAGATGATTAATCCGAAAATGAACAGCTGTATATCAGCGGCTATGTACCTGCAAGTGTAATTCATTTTCAGCTCACTGCCCATCTGTATGCTTAGTGCGAGATTCTTAAAGTTCTCGATAGCGTAAAAGTTAACCCAATTTCGTATTCAGTTGTAAGTCGTCGTGGCCTAAAGAAGAGGATGTCCGTTGCATTCGTGTCGAGCGATGCACCGGTGTTCGAATCTCTGGCGGGTACCAATTTTTTTAATGAAAAACGTTCTCAACAAATGTTCACGATTGACTTCCAACATATTGAATAACATCGTGTAATAAAAAAATCAAATTATAATTTGCGTAATTACTGCTGGTAGGACACTCTTGTGAGTCCGCACGGGTAGGTACCACCACCTTGCCTATTTCTGCCGTGAAGCAGTGATGCGTTTCGGTTTGAAGGGTCGGGCAGCCGTTGTAACTACAATTGAGACCTTGGAACTTATATCTCAAGGTGGGTGGCGTATCTACGTTGTAGACGTCTATGGGCTCCAGTAACCACTTAAAACCAGGTGGGCTGTGAGTTCATCCACACATCTAAGCAATAAAAAATAATATTGTTATTAATTGTAAGTTTCATAAGTCTAAAACAGATGGCGCCTTAAATCAGGTTTTACAGACAATACAATTTAATGGCATAAACACCACGTGTTGCTGAGGCTAAAGTATAAGTGAAATTTATTTCGTAGTAAACGCATCACAGTGAAATCCAATTGTTCTTACTTTATCAATTTTTGGTATTAGCATGGCCGGCCACGTGTTATTTAGAAACAAAAACCTTAGCCACAGCAACGTGTGGCCGGGTCTGCTAGTATTTTTAATAAAATGAATGTACCAAGATTGTATCAAGCAGTCTGAATTGTTACTGTAGTTGTGGATATACAGGAGATGTTGCCACCAATATTTTCTGCAATCACGTATTTCGGACACGGCGACCTCCTGCAATTAAATTATTAAAATTCTAATAACATATTCGGTAAGATCCATAGCTTTGCTGAGTTCTGACTCATTCGAGGATCGGATGAAGTTTGTTGAGCAATAGTGGGTTTAAGCCGGTACAACCCCGACATGCCCCGTCTACTACCTCCGATACGTAGACAGAACTCAGACGATTCATCCCTGGCCCAAACAAAGAATATCATAGCCAAGTACACGTGGAAAATATTCATTCATTTAAAAAATGTACATTATTTTGTAAAATTGTCGACTCCGCGTTTTTAATTTTAAAGTTGCTTTGTCCTGAGTATGTCACCGTGATTACGCATTGAATACAACCGAAACAATACAAGCGATAACCGACGACTCTACGACAGCCCTCACGGTACGGCTGTCCATAAGGCCGCCTTAGGCGATGCCGTTTGTGTTCCAGAATACCCCTTGAGACCACAACCTGTCTGCCGATGATTGGAGCATGATACATCGCCACTTGGTCGCTTGTCCACAGCAGATTCGTGGCACAGCAGCTAAGTAGAACTGTCATGCGGCTATTGCTGGTAGCGGGCCGCGTGGTCTGATAATCTCGTAACCCTCACCGGGCAGGGAACACTTCCTACAGCCCCTGACGCATTCGACATCGTAATAGGAGAGTTCACAGAATTTACAATATGGAGTAAGGCTAAAGCCAAACGACCTTATTCGAATAAAAAGTTAATAAAGAATTAGAATTCGATTCGATTCTCTAACACTTACAGGCCAGAATGGTCCTGAAGCGACATGTCTGAACCAAGTCGAGGTCAGCGCCAATATTACGGCATACGGCGGTGTAAGCCTGGAAAATATCAAATTACAACCTGTAATGGTAAGTTATGAGAAATGTCACGTGTGTTCAAAAATCGAATTCAACTATTTCCACCATGTCGTGATANTTCCCATTAAAGTATAAATTCTACAAATAAATAATACTCAACAATATTTAAAATAAAATGAGCCAAGAACGTTTATCGATAAAACCTGATAACATTGAAATCTTTTGTACAGCACTAAAGCCGCCATGTTTTGTGGCCAGATGACGTCACAGTGGCACGAAATTTTTGTTGACGTTTCATTTCCATAGGTTTCCTACTTCATTGCATCGACGAAGCTTTAGTTCTATTTTGCACCAGAGCTGCTGTAAGTTAGTATGTATGTATGTGACGGAAGCTTTCTTTCTAAGTGTATAATCTATGGCTTTCAACATGATTTTGACCCCCTTCAAAACGTAGACTGAAATCAAAATTGGACATAGGTACTTATCAAGGACCGTTGACAATGCAATATTTTAAACAGTTAGACCTATTATCCATAAATTAGTTTTTTTTAGGATTAGCTCCCAGTTTTAACAGCTCCTCCACAATATTGACAAAGCGTAATTCAACCAATGTACAAATTAATAGCTTATTGTTGACATGTTGATGTTTAATTGTCGTACCATATTCAAAAAATATTAATTAAAAAAAACAATAAAAAATACTTTAAAAAACACAAAAATATGCTTTTATAGAAAATCAAATAGAAAATAAATTCATTGTAAAAACAATCCAATCTATGCTGATTAAACAGCAGGCTTCCAGACTTTTGAGTAGTATGGATAAGAAACCCTTGGCCTTTTGAATTTTACAACAAATAACTTATTCCAAAAAATTCTGGAATCGCCAATCCCCACCATAGATAATACACCGCCATTTCCTTCCGTTATGCTGATGCGCCGCTAAATCGCCATTTTGGATTTAGTTGGCGCTTTTTCTGTCGTGAATTTTCGTTCAGATAGTAATAGAATTAATATTATTTAAGCACATGTGTTTTAAAAACTTTAAAGTGTTGTGAAGTGGATACTATCAGACGATTAATATAATGGATCCTGCTAAAATGAAGGTGGTGGACTTAAGGTCCGAGTTGGGTGCTCTCGGGTTAGATACGAAGGGAAACAAGCCGGCTTTGGTAGAAAGATTGAAAAAAGCACTCGAAGCGAAAACTGGAACAGGTTAGGATTTCAGATGTAATTATTTAATGCTTAATGTACAGTTTTTTAGTAATGTTGCTGAAATTGTTGTTAGGGACTTTTTTAATTACTGCACGTGTACATTTGTCGATCAATCATGGATCATTGTTGCACTGTTGTTTCCACTTTAAGAGATTTAGTGTGATTCTTAGTAACTTTAACTTTCGTAGTAACCATACATCAGTTTGCTGTCCCATTTAGAGATTTGCAAACACACCTATTTTAATATCTGACGCCAAAATCAAGGTTACGACTTTATTCACACTCAAGCATGAGATAAAATCGCATAAAAATCTATTAATTTATTAAATATTAATGTACAGCATCATTAAGTTTTCGAAGTATTTTATATGTTTTTACTGATACAACGACGCATATCAGTGATTGCAGTTACTCCAACTGAACAGTTCAAATCATAGATATCAATCTATGTATACACTGTTTTATGGGAAATTCATTCATATGATTATTTTTAAACTTAATAATAGGTAAGAAGAGCTCGATTCTGCAAAGTAAAATAAAACGAAATTCAATCAAATCTGCTATAAGCTTTTTTTGCACAAAATGTATACGTATTTTTGCTTCTAATGTCCAGATATAGTATTTTTAGGTATAAAAGTAACTTTAAGGATACAACTTTGATTAATTAATGTTTTCCTCTAAGGTCTACAACGAAATTATTAACTACTGTTATTTTATTTAAATTTGCAAGCAGTTAATAATGTTCATTAGTATGAAAAATTAAGACTAATATTTTCCAGATGTGTAAACAAAAAAGCATGGGTAGCAAATTAATTTATTCACCACAGTGTTATAGATAACTAAGATAATATACAGAGATGGTTTTTAAAAATAATGATTATGTACCTAATCTACTAAATAGAAATCAACACCATACTTTGTTTATGATCTGTGTTTTACAAGCAATGTTTATCATTAAGTTGATGAAGATTACAATGGTCACATTACTGTCAGTCAACCTTACATAAAATAGGTTGCATGCAATATGTTACAAACACAGAAAACTTATTATTAAATAATAAAATTAAGTAAGTTTGTTTCAACTTTATTTTGTCTGTGGTGGATGCTTAGTATTGCAACAGATATCATAGAGTTCAATAAAACATTATGGAGAGAAAAAAACAAAAAAAGTCTGAAATCACACTGTGGATGCAGAGAGAATTGAATGCATAAGTGGTATATGATATTTCAGGGAAATGAGCAGGACCCTAGTGCGACTTGTACCGGTGCTTTGCAAAACAAGTCTTTGTTCAGGTGCGAAATAATGCTTCATTCTGTTGAGGATTCCCAAATTTTACAAAGCAAAAAATGTCATGTAGTATTTGAATTACAATTAGTATTTATTATCAGACTATAATAGAGTAGGTAATACCTAGAACATTGTTAATGAATGCAATGTTTGATTATTGTGAACATTTTAAAATTGTTAGTTAATATATAAAACATTTTCAACAACAACATACAAACATTATTGAAGAAGTAATTTTTTATTTTAATTCCTTTAAAACACTAACAGAGCGAATGTAAGAAAATCAACGATTAGAACTGGCCCGTGTGCTTACTGTGAGTTTTTGAACTTCTCAATCATGTAAAAGTTAACTCAATTTTGTATGGAGTTGAAACAGCACCCCTATGTTTCCCGCTAGGCACATCAATTATAAGCGACTGAACCATTACAGCCCTTATGGAAAGTAGTTTTGTAGAACATACAATACTGTATTTAGGAGTTATATTAAAGTTATAGGGTTAAAATAATTTATTAAACTATTAATTTAATATCATAAAAAGAATGTATGTACTAAAAAAATTCATCTAAATTATGAAATTAGAGATTAAGAGAAAACAAGCAATGTAGTGATTAATTCACATGCAAAACTACTTCAAATGAAAACAACAGTGTTTTAAATCATTTTGTTCAAAGTAATCACTATGGTTGTCTTTGCCATTTTGTAAATAGTAATAAATGCATAAAATGGTTGAGTGCTGTTTGTGTAAACAGTAAAAAAATGTTATTTATTAAATTTCAACAAGCATATAATAATTTATGTACATCCATAATAAATAATTATACAGAATAATTTTCTTGTACATTTAGATTACATCATGCTTTATAGCTTGTGTTACCATCTGTACTACAAAAAAATTTGTCACTGTATTTAATAATATAGTCAAAAAAAAATAATGAAGTTTTGAATAATTATTTTCCTTATGATTAATGCCAGAATGCTCTATATGCTTAAACTATTTGAAGACTAAATTAAGAATATTGATAAGGGATACACCTTAATCAATTTTTATTAATTGGCTTAACACCCTAAATATTGGTTCAATTAATATTTAGAAGATTATAGAAAAGAATTTAATGTTTTCTCTTGATAGATTTTGTTGATTAACAATGAAAATTAATAAAAAACGTTATTTTTCAGCACTACCGGACAATTCAATTTTAGATACAAGCACCGAAGATACTGATGATCCAGGAACACCGCGTCGACCGGCATCAAGAACCACTCGACGTTCCTCGTCTACTTCGAAACTAGCAGCCACGCCAGCAAAGGTAAAGTAAAAGCATAATATCAAGGGGAGAAAGGCTATTCGGTTTACGCGACGTTTTTGCAACTTTCCAAGTTTTTTTTCTTTTTTTATTGTTTACATGGGTTGACGGGCTCACGGCCCACCTGGTGTTGAGTGGTTACTGAAGCCCATAGACATCTACAAACGTAAATGCGCCACCCACCTTGAGATATATAGTTACAACGGCTGCCCCAACCTTCAAACCGAAACGCAATACTGCTTCACGGCAGAAATAGGCGGGGTGGTGGTACCTACCCGTGCGGACTGACTCACAAGAAGTCCTACCACCAGTATTAGAGTAAGTAAGAGTAGAAATGGTAGTAAGAAAGCCATTAAAGGTCTAAATTGGAAAAAATATCATAAAAAAAATTTAGCTATTTCAATGGAGTAAACTTAATTGAAGTTCAATTAAAAACATCGAACTGTTGACGTTAATACCAATTAAAACGCATCTTTAATTACAAAGATAAATGTCGCTTAAACTAAATAGCCTTTCATCTCTCGATATGTTCATTAAAAATTATGTCTTACTGTAAAGAGACCATTCTTGCAAAACAGATGGAATAGACTAATAACCAACTGTCAAAGTTAAATATTTATCAATTACTGAGACAAAAAATAACAAGCACTAAGAAAAGTTAATAACAATGTTGACAGTGTTTATACACCACCAATAAAAATGCAAGGTCATACAAAAATTAGAATTATGAACACTCCCTGCCTGATTTTCTAATCTAAGATAACAAGGACTAGGTTTTTAAACTGTAATTGCGTTTTTCTTGTTATTGATTTATTTTTCCTCAGTAACAACGTACCGTAAAAATAGCGATAAATTTACTGATAAACCTAAGGCGTACCGTGTTTTGTGTTTGAATAACTGGTTCCATTATACACGATAACCTTTTTCCGAAGTGTACATATTGAAAAACGGAGTTTATTCAAATGGTTAGTTTTTCTTATGAATGTTGCAAATCATATGAAAAAAAAAATATTTCAAAACAGTGCTCTTAATGTTACGAATCCTAGATTTTTATTCAAATAGGAAAGGCAGGCTTTGTTCTTTGAAGTTTGAAAAAAAAAATCAGTTTTATAGTTTACTGCATGTCATTATTTCAAATTGGCTAGTGCTTGTAAAGTTTTCATAGTATTTCGACGCACTTATATAAGATTATATGATCGAAAATGCTGAAATAGTCTGTGATAATACCATTATTACGACCTTATTTTCCTACAAGAATTGCTCGTTTAAAGGTATAAGATTACTTTATTCTATCACCAATGGTTTCCGCAGTGCACGCGATGTAAAGAATAATTTAGGTAATTTTTTTACACCTTGCATTACATCATTCGAGCTTTAGTAAGGATCACTAATTAAAAAAAAAACATTATAGCCTATGTCACTCGGGAATAGTGTAGTTTCCAAACAGTGAAAGAATTTTTTAAATCGGTTCAGTAGTTTCGGAGCCTATTCAATACAAACAAACAAACAAATCTTTCCTCTTTATAATATTAGTATAGATTAGTCTCACCCCTAATCTCGTGCATTACTACTGATCAGCACTCATGGATTCGTAACAATACACAGTCGAATGGTGCGTTCAGTTTTAATCCATAAGATGCTACATAGGGCGAACCCTGTATGTACCGCACTGTACTGAAAATTGCGATGTAGAGTTATCGCAACCCCACTTCCCTTAATTTTACGATTTTGAGTGTGTGCACATTTTTTACTTGCTCGTATTGTTGCTATTAATTAAGTTTTTATATAAAAAAACAGAATTGATACTCAAAATAATTACATCACATAGGAACATATAATACATAGGCATATTTAAGAAAAAAACCGGCAATGTTCGGCACTACTGTGGCAAAATAGTAAACACGTTTTAATGTTTCAGCAAAGGTTGCAAAACATTGTGTCTAATAGGAAGGAATACTAAAAATAAATATAACTACTGTATGACGTTACCTGTATTGTATCATTTATTTATTTATTCAATTAATTGTTAACGTGGTTTTTATTTTTGCATTTTGAAAATAGCCTGCAGACCCACCTGAGCCCATTCCGGAAGAAACTCGCAGTGACGGTGATGACCGCTACTCACCAAGCCTTGAGGAAGAATCAACTGAATCTCAACCAACTAAGGATGAACAGGTCGCAAAAGAGCCTAATAACAGGTAAGCTCGACAGGTTAATAGGTCAACAAATGCAGATGACATTGACAATACCATCCATAGCCCCTGCCTAACTCTTGCCCTTAAATATCAACTTTGTATAATATTTTTTGGAATTTTTTTCTTATAGTTTTATAAACCGAATCATTAGTTTATTTAAAAACATACCTATGAATGAATTAAAGAGGAAACAAGTCATATTTATTTTTATTTATTTCTTTACTTTTTCAGAAATGAATCAGATGAACAGGAGGATGACAAAGGTAAGCTTTTATTAATTAATAGAAAATAAATTTACCAGAAAATTCTCCCTTTTTTTTTTGTTTGACGTACAACAATGTTGGTTGAAGTCCTATAGATCAATATTTCATGTATAAATTAAATTAATGAGAACCAAGTAATTTTTTATCCTACTATATATTAAACTTGTGCAAATTATATAAAAGCAATGGACACCCAAGAATCTACGGGTCCAGATGACGCAAAGAAACATACTGCTGAAACTATGGAGCATGACGGTGATGAAACTGAAGGCAAAAAACAGAAGAATGAAGAAAGCAAAGAAGATAAAGCAGAGAAAAATAAAGAGGTAAGCAATCAATGATACTGAGATGGCTATTTTGGTTATGAATTTTTATCAAATACAATAACAGGGATAAGCTCCCAAAGTAGGTAGTTATTATTTACTTCTAATTGTTTTAGTGTAAGGTTTGGCTATTATTTATTCAAACCAGATTGACTAAATTGGTGAGGTTGATGATGCTATATAGTATTTACCACATTGTACTGTAAATACAATTGTAATAGAATTTTAATTAATGTGAAAATAAGTTTAAGAAACTGAAACCTTCAAACGCAATTTGTAAGCTCTCATGCTCAATGCCTTCTTTTTGGTTTCACTTACACATGGTATTCGCTTGTAAGGTTGGGTTTGTAAAGCACTCTTTAATTTAGATCAACATTAGTTGTTCTTTGGAAACAACTATTAAGAGCCTAAGCATGGCATGAAAAAAATACTAACTTTTTTATTTGTTGGCAGGAGCCCCGTGAGCTCACAGAAGAGGAAGAATGGGCTCAAATGAATGAACGGCTTCGAATCAGGGAACAGGAGAGACTTGAACGTGAAAAGAAGCAGGCTGAGGAAGATGCCAAGAAACTAGAAGAATTGAGCGATGTATGTATTCAACAATGATCATAAAGTTAATAATTTTGTAATAATTGTTATAAGTGTAATAGCTACATCCTGAAAAATAAGCCTACTAATTCATTAAAATATGCAGCAGCAGAATAAAAATCACAATTTGATAAAAATGACTAATCTCCTAAAATAGAATAACAAATGTATGATGAAACAAAATCTCAAGTTGATAAAATTTTCTAATCTCCTAATATAGAATAAAAAATGGTATATGATTAAATCTAAATTATTTAACTATATTTTTATTTTAATCTGCACAGAACCCTGTCAAACTCCAGCGTTTGAAACGTAAATACGAGAAAAAAGCTAGATGGAGCAATTTCTATAAAACCGTGGAAGCCACTAATGAAATTTTGACGCCTCCAGAACCGGTATGTATTAGCGCGTGTCGAACATGGCACGTTTTTGTACATCAACGTTTGATTTTACGTTTCAATTATATATTTACATATATTTACTTCAAACAAAAAAAAGCACAAGGAATAATGATTAAAATCTTTAATTATATCATGATTTTTAAAAAAAATAGATATACGTTATTGAATGATTATTCTTAATCAACATTTTTGTTAATAAAATCGAGATCCTTTCCATAAAGCAATAATTGTAAAACACTTACGGTTTAGTTTTGCATTTTTAAATTTATCATAAAACCTAAAGTATTTAATACGTCAGAAATGAAAATATTGTTGGAATATTGGACATCAAGTCTTACAAATTTTAAACACGTGCGAGATATAAAACTCCCCAAAACCCTACAATGAATTCTGTTTTGACAGCTTATTCGGAAAGAAGCAAAATCTGCCAACTCCAAAGAACAAGGTAAAGGGAAGAATAAGGATGCTCAACCTCCACCCGAGATAAGAGTTCCCGAACCTGAGCTTGACGATAACAAAGTCACTTTATCTTGGTGTAAGTCTCTTCTTAAATTTAATACCTCACAATGGACATAGCTTAGCAGAAGCAATTTATCCCACTAAATCCACATTGCATTTAATAAATTAAGAACAATTTTCTTACATTATATTGGTTTTCTGCTAAACTATGTCTATTTGATTATGAAAAATATACAAGAAATGCGAAAAATTTGAGCAGGACAGTATCAACACTTATAAGTAGTTGTTTTTTTTATTAAAGTTAAGTAAAAATTTACACTAATTAAGAGATTGATGCATTTTCTTTACATTTTATTCAGTATCTCATTTTAAATAGCAAGAATATTTAAAAAAACTTCAGAAATGTCATAGGCCATTGAAACCTGGTGCATGGGGAGTCACTATCACTACTGTGTCAACATGCGAATATAGAGAGATGTTACTTGTAAATGATGTTGATGTTACTTGTAAAACTATAAAAAATATAAGTTCGAAGGATTTATTTTTGTTCCAATGAATTTTAAAACAATTACTTTACAAAGATTTGTATGCAGTCATCAATTTAGGAATTTTTTACTTAAAGAAGTAATTTGAGAAAAAGTATCATAGAATTACATTTCTTTACAGATGACAGCGATCTCAACCAATACCTAGAGCTACCAGAACTGAACTCTGTTGTTCCACTCAGTGAAGGAGCCTTTTCGCACGCTTGGGCCGGAGCCAGAGCCACCCATGGGGTTGTTTCTGGACGAGTCGTCTATGAGGTTTGTGACATATAGCAACATGAGTATATTAAACGGAGACTGGTACAGGCAGTGTTTTCATGATAGGATCATCTTTGCCAAACTTCTAAAACTTAAAATGATATACTCTTTCATAGAGATAGATCAACATATCCAAATTATTAGTATGGCAGATGGGAAAATAGCCTAAGAAAAAATAAATAAATTAACATTGCTTACATTAATTTTAAAACATACAGAAAATAAAGATAAAAGGTTTCTGATTGATATATCGAAGGATAAGTTCGTACCTACATGAATATTTTTGATATAGGTGCGTGTCGGAGATGTTATGGCAACAACTGAAACTTCTGAAAAAGATGCGCTAACATCTGGAATAAGAATCGGCTGGTCCACAGACGACTCTTCTTTGCATCTTGGTAAGATAAATACATAACCCCAAAACATTTTACAAAAACTTGCATTTTATATGATAAAATGTTTTATGTATATTTGCCACCATGCTGAATGCATGAACGAAGCATGTAGATTTAAGTTTTTGGAATCACTAACAACAGAATATTTAAATAAAAAAACTTAGTTTCCCATCTCTTCTGCAAAATAGCTTTTGATGGTTTCCGAAGAAAGAAAAAAATTACTCTGGATATAATATACTTTTTTCTTTTGTTGTAATACAGTGGGCTGGAAGGGAAATAAATAGAACTGCACATACCCTTACTACAACTTTCAATCTATTTATAGTTCTTATGGAAACTGTTCTTTATAAATGTTAGAATAAAAGAACTGGATGTTAAAGTACAATTTATTTTTAGGTGAAAGTGAGTTAAGTTGGGGCTTCGAGAGCACTGGCCGCATTGTCAATAATGGAGAATACAAAGAATATGGGAAATCGCTTAACGAAAAGGATGTTGTTGGTGCTTATTTGGTAACGAAATTTTATTTTTATATTAAGTTATAACGAATTAAAACGTTTAAGGTGTTTAGTTTTTAATGATGTTGATGTAAGGTACAGTTCGATGGTGCTATATCGACTGTAGGACTGCCTCCTTTCTCGAAACTTTGTAGTCGGCCGGCGGAGTCTCTGTCGCTCCCCCCATGCATGCCCCGCCAAGACCCACGAGGAGAACAAGTAGGGATGTACGGGTTATAAAGTGACATATTGAATTAGGGTTGCTTATAATCAAAAGTAAACACATATAACACAGTTCCTCGAGAAATTCAGGATGGCACTTCACACATGTAAGAGAACGTGAATAGTGGTCATTTTAATTACAATTTGCGGTTTGACGTGTCTAGTGGCGGACCACCTTTCTTTTTCCTACCTAAGCTGATAGCCTTGAGAGGCTATTTCATCGTAACCTTAACTAGTAGGTGAGCTCACGGGGCTTAAACCTGATGACGTTGCTAACACGAACCCTAGCAAGAGCCGTGCTTCGCAGAATCTACCACCGAATCAGAAACGCGACCCACTGAGAAGATCCGGCGAGAAACTCAGTGGGCTCTGTCTGTGGGTGAATTTCTATTGGGTCTATTGGAAAATATACAAAAAAAATTCGAATCGTTAGGGAACATACTGTAAGCCGACGAATAACGCCATCTATCGTCAGAGAGCAAAAAAATGATATCGAAACGAATGGCACATCTCGAGAAAGCGACGGGTTCGACGAGAACGATGACCGGTACCGTACCGAGCTACCGTATTAGTGCTGACGACGTGTTGTTCAACAGGACTTGGAGTCGGAGCCGTGTGTGGTGTCGTACACGCTCAACGGCGCGCCGCTCGGCACCGCCTTCGAGTTCCCGCGCAGCGCGCTGGGCGGCCGCACGCTGTACCCGCACGTGCTCACCAAGAACATGTGCTACAAAGTCAACTTCGGATACGAACGGTAATACAACCTTTATACTCTACCTTTATTTTTTACTAGCGGCCCGCTCCGGCCCCGCTCGGGTCTTTAACAAAAATTTCAACGATATTTGACGTTTTTTTTAAATAAAAGGTTAGATATATGCTGTCGCGACACTTTTTGTAAATAATAATGTGTTCTACAAAGTCGTAGTACATTATTTTATTCTATCATGAATAGTTTTCGCAGGGCACGCGATGTAAATAATATTTTACGTAATTTTTTTACACCTTGGGTTACATTACGGAGTAGAGTACATCCATATGTACCATCCGGCTATGGAATGAGCTCCCCTCCACGGTGTTTCCCGAGCGCTATGACATGTCCTTCTTTAAAAGAGGCTTGTGGAGAGTATTAAGCGGTAGGCAGCGGCTTGGCTCTGCCCCTGGCTGAAGTCCATGTAGCTTCCAAACAGTAAAAGAATTTTTCAAATTGGTTCAGTACTTTCGGAGCCTATTTAATACAAACAAACAAACCTTTCCTCTTTATAATATTAGTATAGATTGCCGTATAGGCAGACGTTGGTCCGACCAGATCTACATCGCTCTTGATTCCACGTTTCACAACGCCCTCCACACCGCCAGAGACGAGAATAGATGGAGAAAGATCGTGCGTGCGAAGGTGATACAAAAGGGTAGTCACGACCCTCAGCAATGGGGAATAAGACGCAAGGAGGAGGAGGATAGGCAGACGAGCGTACGGCCCACCTGATAGTAAGTGGTTACCGTCGCTCATGGACGTTACCAGAAGCAGAGCCAAGCCGCTGCTTTTTTAACCAGTTTTTTTTGTAAAATCTCTTCCGGTTACTCTTTTTAAGTATACTCGCTATTCTCGTGTCCGTATTTACTTCGAGCTCATACAACATAAATAGATAGACAAAAGTCGAAACTAAAAGTATTATAATTTGGAACTTTAATTTTTATAGTTTAAAATGTAGTGATTTTGTTGTCATTATAATATTCCCGACGTTTCGAATACTGTACATTTTCCGTGGGCAGTGTGGGCACGGACTTAATTTAATTCAATCATATAATGTCAATTACATATCAATTCAAATTTTATTTTACCCAAAACTTATTTGTTACTTTTTACTTTTTATTGTGTCAAATACCTGTTATAAAAATTGTGTAAGAATAATATCATCTTTTCCTTAATTTCGGTAAAGTACGCCGCTAGTGAAATGCTAGTGTTCTCTCTTATGAAAAAATCAAATATTCACCATTTTCTGTTCCATTATAAATCATACTACAATAATGATTAAAAATATTTTAAAGTTACACAGATACATATATCACTGCTCTGCTTATTCTTGCTATGAAAAAGCCAAGAAAGGAAAAAATCAAACATTACTAAAATAGCATTATTTAAAAAAAAAGGAAATTATTTGAAAATTGAAAAGATTGGCTTTGATAGAAAGAATAAAATAGCAGCAGAAAGCAGAATAAAAAAATTTAAAACCATTAATGAATAACCCTTTTTGCAGTTTTTTAATAAAGCTCTTAACAAATTCATTGTGCGTGAGACTGTAAGTCGTGAAGTAAATTTATATAAATTTACACTCAACACATGCTTCCTAAAGGGCTTGTGGAACATGGACTTAAGCATTCATTTAATATTACATTCTATTTAGAAATAATATTTATTAATTCATATAGTTCTTAAATATCACATAATATATTTAAACAGTTACAACATGCTGTCAAAAACAAAAATAGTGCGGAAACGCATTGAAGTACCAGTCGAGCAAGTTTTAGAAGAAAAGAGGGTCATTGAAGAAGAAGTAAACCGTTTGAAAGAAGAAGCAAAGAGAAGAGAACGAGAGAGGAGAGAAAGAGAAAAATCAGACAGGGAGGAGAGACAGAAACGGAAACGTGAGGTAAATCAGAATGTTTCATGAAAAATACATTATTAGATGTTCATGGGCAGTTATTCTATTGAAGTTGTATGGCTCCTTAATGTGTTTATATTATTAAAAATATTTCTTCGCTGTGTGCTTATTCTCAATTGCTCTAGATGAGCAGACGGTTGATAGCTCACTTGGTGTTTCCTGCAGCCCAAATAGCCCTGTAAACGTAAATGTGATGTTTTTTATGAGTTTTAACCTGCAATGTGGAATCCATGCTGCCCAGCTTAGTACCCATCTTTTTTTTTATAGCTTATATGGGTGGACGAGCTCACAGCCCACCTGGTGTTAAGTGGTTACTGGAGCCTTAGATATCTACAGCGTAAATGCGCCACCCACCTTGAGATATAAGTTCTAAGGTCTCAGTATAGTTACAACGGCTGCCCCACCCTTCAAACCGAAAAGCATTACTGCTTCACGGCAGAAATAGGGAGGGCGGTGGTACCCACCCGCGCGGACTCACAAGAGGTCCTACCACCAGTAATCACCATCTGTGCTTGCTCACAACATGCTCCATCCCCAAGACATTCAAGTGAACAAACTAAGTTTTAAAAATATATATATATATATCTGTAACTTTGCTATCAGGTAAATATTGATTTCCATCATTACAGGAACGTGAAAAGCAAGAGCGGGAAAAGAAAGAAAAGGAATTAGCAGAGAAACGCGAGAAAGGAGAAACATCAGATAATGAGAAAGATGCTGAGAAATCAGAAGAGAAAGAGGCAGAAGGTGAAAAAGATAAAACAGGAGACGAACCTAAGGTGAGTTTCGTTCTTTGCGTTTTAATTGTAAATGTAGGGAATTTGCCACGACATCAGTGGTGTAATGCTCTAGCTAATACATTTTATTATGATTAAAAATTAATATGTTTGTTTACTTTTGTTTTGGTATTTTTTAAAAAAAATAGTACTTCCACCCTTTTATATTCACGACTAAAACCCAGCAATAGTTACTACATAAAACAAAGGCAAGAAAATCAATTGACAAACAATTATGGTAATTTGATTTATGGTAATTTGATTTGGTCTTTGTCCATTTATACAGAGATCAATTTCCTGGAATAATGAATATTCATCAAGTATTCAATTACACATTGAGTTATTGTCGACAGGAAAATGGGGAGAATAAAACAGAAAAGAAAGATGATTCGAAAACTGAGCCAATGGAAACCGACGAGCCTCCCGCTGAATCCGGAGCCGCGCAACCCGCCGACCAGCCCGCCGCCAAGCCCGACGCTCCAGCAGGTACGTCCCTGCTAGTTGGGACTCTGTTGAAGGCAGCGGCTTGGCTCTGTCCCTGCATATTGCTGGAGTCCATGAGTGACGGTAACCACTCACCATCAGGTGGATCGTATGCTAGTCTACCTACAGGGCAATAAAAAAAAGAAAAAGATATGATTGCACTAAAGTCCAAATTAATTTGATAAGCCTAAAATCTTTAACATACATACCCTAATCAGACTCGTAAAAAAAACTGAATAAATCAATTCCCACATGAGTGTGACTTCACTTGAGAATGTCTACTGATTTGGCTAATTAGTTTGTCAGGTTCTTAATAGTTAAGACTTAGTAGGTAGCTTTATATGAAAGATATCATCTACATAACGATAGTCACAACTCAGTTTGGCCAGATTTAATAATAATTAAATATTAATAGTAATCATTATTATGAGAAACTGCTTTTCGTTTAGAATAAAACTAGCGACCCGCCCTCGCTTCGCTTCGGAAACATTAAAACACACATGAAACCAAAAAAAAAAAAAAAAAGTAGCCTATGTTCATCAGGGACAGTGTCTGCTTCTAATGGAAAAAGATTTTTTCAAATCGGTCCAGTAGTTTCGGAGCCTATTCGAAACAAACAAACAAACAAATCTTTCCTCTTTATAATATTATATTATAGAATAAAATACTAGGATGCCATGACATCACGATTTGTAAAAAAAAAGAATGCCCTGCAAGAGAATAATAGTAGCCACACAAAACATTTAACTCTCCGACAGTATACTATCCTGCTTTTGGCTTGTAAATATAATGCAACATATTGCATTATGAGAGCCCTTAGGCAGGTACATTAACAATTCGTATTTACTCTCGTACGTCCTGTGACGCATGAGATCGCAACCGAATTTACATCAAGGTTATATCAGAAAATCAAAATATTTATTTCTTTAATTAGACAGTAGATGATTCACGGTGCGCCTACTCACCGACGCCACTAACCACTGATCGTTTATTGTTTATACCGTGCGCTTCTATTAATTAAGAATATTTATTATTTTTAGCCGAGGGTGACGTACCCGAAGTGACAGCCGAGCAGGTCCTTGAGGGCCATGTATTGGACAAGAGAATTAAGTTTGTTATAAGGTATGTATAATTTACATCCGTACATCCAGCGGCTTTACCACCGAGGTGAGTAGGCCAGAGCCTAGATGAGCGTTGGATTAGGTGTTTTAATCTATATATATAAAAATGAAACCCGTTTTCCGTTGTCACGACATAACATGAAAACGGCTTGACCGATTTGGCTAATTTTGGTCTTGAATTATTTGTGGAAGTCCAGAGAAGGTTTAAAAGGTATAAAAATATGAAAATTCTCGGAATTAAATAAAAATAACAATTTTGTTTTCTAAAAAAAAAGATTAATCTGTTAAAAAGATTCTACAGCAACTTCAATCAAACATGTCATGTACATGTCCTTTAAAAATTTAAAATTATTAGCCTTAGGTAGTAGTTGGCTGTGACATTTTTTCGTCTGAAAGTTCATGAATTAAATAATTTTTCTCTTCCTCCTATCACTGATTCATGTAGTACTTGAATGACAATTGTTAAAAAGCGAGTTGTACTGAACAGATACCGCGTGGACGAGGAGCTGGACGGCCCGGAGGAGGCCAAGCTGCTGCCCGACTTCACGCTGTTCGCGCACGCGCAGCTGCAGCCCGGCCCCCGCCGCCCCCCGCAGCCCGAGGTATCACGCGCTGCTGCTCACCTACATGTCTTACGTTCTAATTATAATAGGATCCCAAACGACAAGTGACAACAAATGTCAACTCTGGATTCTATGAATATTTTGCAGACCTGATTGACATGATAAAATAAAACAGCTTCGTTTGATAGGTAGTTAACTTGACAAACGACATAATGAAATGTCAATCCTATTATGATTTTGATCGAATACTAATAGTGGAACGAATCCTTGGTGGGATATTAATGCACTACAACTGATGACTGAAGATGGAAGATGAAAAGTTAGCGGATTTTACAAGCACAATCGAAGAATGACGACCATCACCGAAGAATTAAATTACATATTTCAGGTTCGATTCCTGAATGTTTTTGTTTTTTAATATGCTTCGTTTCCAGATAAATGAATCCTGGCAGTATATTGTTCTACGATGCTATCGCACTGATTTTTAAGGAAGAGTGCCACAACCTATCGTTAATGAACTACCCGTAATTTAATTTTCAAAAACATTAATAACAACAAAAACAGATTTAAACTTTAAATAGTGGAGTTCCACCGTGGTCATGTCTGTAACCTAAGTTGATCACAGGTAAGTTACTTCTTCAAACAGAGAAAATTGGTCGTCAACAATGAAAAAGGTCAACTGAAAATCCGTATGTGGGGTGTTCACTAAACGTTCAAGCGCCGTTGGAGCCTACGCCGTACTCTGAGAAATGCGACGCGTCGACGAACTCTTACTCTGTGGGCAAATCAGTCGTAACTTCGCGTAATATATTTAGCCAAAACGATGCCGCACTAGCGTTTTGGTCTGAATAATGTTTGTTTGTGGGTACGAGTGGGGGCTCTCGCAACAGAACGTTTTACAAAGGATTGTGTTCAACGAGCAGCTGGTTAAATAACATTCACAAGAATGGTACGTGGAAACGATTCGCAAAGGAGTTTAGATGAACATACAAAAAAGCTTTGGTTTCTATCTCACGTTTTACAGAACAACGACGCGCGTGTTGCAACGATACGGGCTTACGGATCCGACGTCTGCTTGGGCGTAAACAGGAATGTTTACGTCGCACCGAGTCCATCGGGTACTTAATTTACAATAACTAGGAAATAAGTTGCTTTAAAACATGTGTAGATACAACATGTGGTCACATACAATATGAATATTATTCTAATGTGTGATTGGACTTTCAAATACCGTTAAGTTAGCATGTAAAAACTGTTTTGCCAAGCGCTATTCTTACAACGAATCCACGGTATCACGCGAGTGGCCATGTAATCCACTCGGGAATGTACAATTTTTGTGTGTTCATCACGGCTGACCTTATCAAATTTATTCAAAAAGTTCTACAATTCCTTTAACAGAAGTTATCTTGCGTCTGTTAATCTTCCGGGAAAGAAGACGGAACGAACAAAAATTCTGCAATGAAAAGAAGAAAATACGACAGTTGAAGACTTAGGATCTTTCGTTGTTTACATTTTTGTCCTAAGACATCGTCTACTGAGTGTCTCGGAGTAATCGACACTGGATTAGTACCGACTGCGAGACACGTTAGTCTGACTGAGCGGTGTAACAGCGGGGAATATACTGGTTCTTATGATCAACTATTTACTATTTACTTCTACTACTACAGACATTCTGTCCCTACTGTATTTATTTGAAGGTGTATACTTTACTCCCAAATTGTCCCAAAATTCTATTTTATTTTGTTAATTTAAGACTAATTGACAGGTGATCCTCATGGTGGGGCTGCCTGGATCTGGAAAGACCTACTGGGCCAAGAACCACTGCGACACAAACTTGGACAAACGCTACAACATTTTGTCTACTGGTGCTCTCTTTGATAAGATGAAGGTATGGAAAATACATAGCAATATATTTTTATTTTTTAAAACAGATATGTTCAATAATTCTTGCTTGTACCTAACAAGAAATGCTGATAATATCTACATTAAAATATATTTATTAAGTGTACAAGGACAATATTAATAACAACAACCATAATTTGTGCTTGAATGACATTAATTATTATTATAAAATTTAGTGACAGGAGCATAAGGCTCTTGCTGTATTTTCAATTCAGTAGCTAAGTTGTAAGTCATTGGTTCTCAATGTGGAATGAACTCCCGAAAAAGAATTGTGAGGATCTAGTCAATCAGTCTTACACAATAAAATTCAAAATTCACAAGATTGAATTTGAAATTGATTAAAATTCAGCATTGTTTATGTGTAGTGTTTTCAAAATTATTTTATAAATTAATTGCAACTTTGATCTCACATAACATGACAACTATGGACATAACTTTTACTATAATACTATTTTATATTGGTTAGTGTACATAAAGTATGTCATATTAATCAGGTACTTTTAAGCTATCATATGTTAGTATTTGTTCTTTTGTTTTATGAGTATATGTTGATCCAGGTGGACTGTAAACCATTCCGCGCGACCTTCGAAGGCAGGTGGGACGCTATGGTCTCCAAGTGCGCTAAATGCGTGCTTAAATTGCTGGAATTTGCGCGTGACCGAAAAAGAAATTATATTTTAGATCAAGTGAGTTTTGTTCATATTTTGTTGTTTCAACAAAACATAATTATTCATAATGCTATGGTGTATACTAAACATTCCTATTATCACAGAGTTTTTAATTGAGATTCTGTTGTAGACGAACAGATCTTATAATGAATATGTTTTATTCCATATCATGGTTACGTCGTTGCGGCTGATTTGCTACGCACCGTCTGCATCGTTTGGGTGAAAACAGACCAACGTATACCCGTCGGCTCAAAGACGCAAAATGAGAGAGTTCGAGGGATACCGACGTGTGGCCGGCTGCATACTGCCTCGCGACGAGCAGCGAGCCAGAGCTACCTCTTCCGACTCCAAGGACGTGCCGGACGCTGCGCTACTCGACATGAAAGGTCTCTACTACATTTACATCAGAAGCTCCCAAACAAATTGTGTCTACTGCCCACTTTGAGAATAAATTCTATTTTAGCGCCCCCATTTTTTCATCTACTTACAAACCACTATAGCGAGAGTTCAGTCGGTGTCTAAGAGTCCTCCTAGATGAAATTATAAATCACCTCCCAAGCCTCTACACAACGTCCCCATTTTTTCTGGGTCTCTTACCCGCCCCCCTTGGGTCATCAAGCGCCCACAAGGGGGCGTTATCGCCCACTTTGGGAAAGGCTGATTTACATTCATCCACGGTCACTTTCTATCACCGCTGGTTCTCTTTCTCACTGTCACGCTTGCACTCCACAGCCAACTTCACCGCGCCCGAGAAGTGCTCTTGGATAGATGAGGTGATCTATCCGGAGCTACCTGAAGAAGAAGCCAAAGCCGCAATCGAAGCGTACCACAAGGAAGCGAAAGCGGCAGGCGCGGGCCGGGAGCGCGAGAAGCGGGAGCGCTCGGACGCGCGGGAGGGGCCGCCCGCCAAGCGCCCCCGGGAACACGACAAGCGACACGGCCGGGAGGACCGCGGCCGTCCGACGCGGGACTTCAGCCGCGACCGAGGTGAGCCCACGATAATAATCTATGCCAGCGGTCGGGGAACTTTTTTAATTATTACTCCGAAATATTTTTGTGTAAGTTGGTATTACCCCATGGTGAAGAACAAAAAAAAAACGAAATCGCTTCTTTTTAGCATCTTTCATCTTAAGTATAGCCTCCATGATAATTTTGAAAATAAAACAATAACTAAAAATTTAATTTAAACATCATTTATTCAATTTTTCAATGTAATACCTAGTAATACCTAACGGTAATAATAGTAATATAATATGTAATATACAGTTGAGGAAAAAAAATCGCCCCCACAGAAAATATAAGTAAATGATAATTTCTTGTTATTTTATAATTCATATGATATTTTTCTTGTATTATTAGACGAAAAAACCAGTTTAAATTCCATATATAGCTCCCAAATCTTTTAATTTAAATGTTTTTTTTTTTGAGAAAATATAGTTTCTAAAGTAGTTGCACTTCAATATATACTTTTTACTGACAAAAATTTCATTTTTACCCCATTTGGGATAATTTACCCCGGTTCTCCGATCGCTGATCTATACTAATATATAAATCTACAGTGGTTTTTACGGATGTTCCGTTATAACTACTGAACCATGCATCCGATTGACTTGAAACTTGGTATCCATGTAATACATGTATGTAATGGATAGGCTAATATTTATATTAGTGTTGGGCTCTCTACACCAGTTGCGGGGGCGTTAATGATCAGAATCTTTGTGGGGGTGAGAAATAATAATATTAATTTTAAATGACCAGCGAAACGGACGGGTACAGCTAGTCAGTTATAAACTTTTAAAATACTACAGATTTGAGTTGAAACTTGAATTCAGTTAAAAATATTATAATGTCAGCGGACAGTGGTGCGGGGTTGCGGTTCTACACCGTGCGCTTCGTCACTTCGTGTAGCAACGCCACCCGCGACACTTGATTGTTACTCTTTTTATAAATTGACCAAATATTACACACCTATCCGGACTATAAAACTGCTCATAAAGTATAATAATAAACAAAGATAATAATAATAAACAAGTGCTTGGACTGCCCATGACTGCTCTGTTAAGAACTGACTATGATGAGAGTAATAAAAATATTGTCTCCTCCTTGCGTTGGTTTCCTCATTACTGAGGGTCATGGTCATGGCCTTGAAACAGTTTGTTGTTTATAATGCACCGCCATCTGTTCCTATCTGCATCTGAGTGCAGAGCATCGTGCACTGTGGTATCAAGGGCTGCACTTATCTGGTCCGTCCAACGGGTCGGGTTCCTGCCTCTTGGTCGCTTGCCCTCGACCTTTTCATTGACCACCAATTTCTCCAAGTTGTCACTGTCTTTCCTTGCAATGTAGCCAAAGTATTCAAGAATCCTTTGCAGGCAAATGGTGGAGAGTCTAGTCCGGATCTTGAATATTGTATGAACCTAAAATTAACAACATCTAAATAGTGCGGAAGACATACTTCATCATTATTTAGAATTAAACAATAGAAAAAAAAACTAGATTCATGGCGGGTCGGCTTCGTTCATGTGATGTAAATGTAACTATTAACAGCATTTAGTTTTTTTTAGAAAAACTTTAATCAACTGTTCATAGTATAATAGAATGTAGTAATAAGGTAATCTATGCAAATTTGTAGCTGACCCTAAAATACACTATAGATCAGCAGCTTTACTTACATTTACAAAAAATGAATAGAGAAATAATTGTTGGTAAAAATTTCATCTATGATATAATATGAAAATATGATGTGTTATCGGTTAATTGAACCCTCCTTGAGAAGGCTTACTAGATTTAGTAATGAACTACAGTTTTTTTTTTCAAATTATCCAATTTAGGCTTTTGATCCAAGCTTTAACTTTAGAAGTCGTAAGTCACAGATAATATATATTATCATTTGAATGAACAGCTAATCAACATCTACCCAACTATTACTGACGAAGCGTGTTGCGGATAATAATATGTACTTTTAGGTTATTAAACTACCTTGCATTTTGATTTATATTACTACACTAATGCATATCTTGTAACCGCCTGAGCATAATCAATAATAATTGACGTGTTTTTGTCCTGTAGAAGATCGCTGGGGTGGCGGAGGCGGCGGAAGTAGGTGGGGTGGAGGTGGTGGCGGCGGCGGCGGCGGTGGCGGTGGCGGCGGTGGTGGTGGTGGCGGCGGCGGCGGCGTTGGTGTTGGTGGAGGTGGTCGTGGCAGTAGATGGGGTGGACGACAACGCCCTGGGCCACCTACTACACCTCGCTTTGACCGCTGGGGACCACCACAACCCCAACGGTATTTATTTGTTTTTTTTCTTGTCTTTAATAATATCAGTAAATAGCTAATAAGTTCGATGGTGCTGAGCACTGATTACATTGCATTATACGGCTCATATATTTGTTGCCACTTGGTACATATTTTTTTTTTTTATATTATCATTTGAGCATGAACAACCTAATTTTCTCAGAATTTTCAGTTTTATAGCGCTTTGGTTCTGATTTGCGTGATATTACTGTTCAACTGTAATTGATTGTCATTTATATTTCAGTGGCGGCGATTTTGGCCGTGACCGAGACGGATATCGCGGTGGGCGTGGTGGAGGCGGCGGCGGCGGCGGCGGTGGTAGCGGAGGAGGGCGACTTGACCGTCCCATGCCGCGCGGTCCCCCCGGGCCTCCCCCTCCCAACGCCGACCGTTTCAACCGCGACCGACCTCCGAGACCCATCGACAACAAACGTCCACCACAGGGACCTCCCGGTAATTGGTCTTCATCTTATAATATCAGTATCGACACTCATCACGGCAGCAAAATTTCAGACCTATAGAAGAATTATTTTGTCTGTGCAGTTTGGGTCATAAAAAAATCGGAGCGGTGAAGCGAGTATTTCACTCTCTTCCACTCACGAGCCTTATGGACGGGCATAGCGATGCGCATTATTGTTGTCGATAAGCGTTATCGATAGTGTATTTAGTTTTGTCATTTTGTGGGTTAGTGATAAAAATGAAAGAAAGAATTACTAATCGAACACTTACACTACTTATCGCCGCAGCAAGTTAACGAGAACGGCAGAAATTAACACTTTGTAACTTTTCGGGATTTATTCTTTGCAAAATTTTAACACATTGTTGATAACAACACGTGCAAATATTATTTTGAATAAATTCTGCTGTTTTGATACAAAACAAAGGAGGAGCCATTGTGTCACTAAAGAAATTCAGAGAACGAATTCATAAAAACACATTACTCTTCGATATAATGTACTATAATTTGCAGGTAAGTACAAATGACTTAACATAACAATGTCTCACCACCCTTCGTATATCGCCCCGCCGCCGTGTGCCTTCGATGACTCATTTGTTTTTATCGTTAATGGCGTTGCGCCCGCGCAACATGCTCAGCGCCCTAGCCGGGCTATGTTTTATGACCCAAACTGCACGGACAAAATAATTCTACTATAGTCACCAATTTGGACGTGTTTAGCTATCTGGTTTAGTCAGTCTGTTATGGTATTTTTTTATTGCTTAGATGGGTGAACGAGCTCACAGCCCACCTGGTGTTAAGTGGTTACTGGATCCCATAGACATCTACGACGTAAATGCGCTACCCACCTTGAGATATAAGTTCTAGGGTCTCAATTACAACGGCTGCCCACCCTTCGAATCGAAACGCATTACTGCTTCACGGCAGAAATAGACAGGGTGGTGGTACCTACCTGCGCGGACTCACAAGAGGTCCTATCACCAGTAGAATTTTATTTACTAGTACAAATTATAACCTTTATTCCAATATAGGTGGTGGCGGCAACACCAATATTGGAGGTCCAACTGGAAACAATACGGCCGGATCATGGCAACGCGGGAATAACAGAAACAACAATGCTGGACCACCGCCGGCCGTGCCACGACCGAACAATCCGCCGAAGGCACAGGTTAGATGAATAATACTAAATTAAAAAAAAATCTAACAATCATGATCGATCGTCAATCATTAATTAACCTTAAATATCAACTGCTAAACGTTCGTTTCCCACAAACCTGCAGTAACTAGTTAGAAATTGCCTGCATGTTCATTTAGCTTTTTGAATTGTAAATTAAATAATAAAAATCGTTTATTCCACAGTCAGTAAAATATAATTTTAAACATTATTACAGTAGCTTACAGTAATGAATGCTAATAATTAAAACTTGCAGTCAAACAGATACATTCCATGCTGGTCTTTTTGTGTATTATATTATAATTAGAAGACGAAGCATTTTTCTCTAGTTACTTTTTTCAAATTTAATCATTAATGCAGACTTATTAAATGAATCCTGTAATGAAATTCTTTATAGGAAATATTTTCACGTTGTAAATTTTTCTGTACAATTTTAATAATACAGGATGGTCCAAATACACAAAATCAAATGCAGCAGAACCAACAGAATCAACAGCAAGGTTGGAATCAGTGGGATGGTGGTTGGGGAGGTTGGGGCAACTGGAACCAGAATCAAGGTACGTACGATTTTAAGACTAGAATCATGTCTATAAATCTGTGTCTATGTCTATATCACTGTAGATCATTAGTTACTACAACAAACGCAAAATATTTCAAGCTATCCATTTTTTCTCCTTCACAATAATTTCAAATATTCTTAGAACTTTTTTATTAACATCACTCTCCAATTTTAACGAATCGTGATTCGAAAGTTTTTGTGGCAGATACACTTGTAAACGAAAATATAAATTATTTTCACATATTTTCCATAAATTGCTAAAGGAGTTTTTAAAAAAGTAAAGTATAAAAAGTTCAGCTTAAAAAAAAACAAAAATCCACGCTAGATTCACATTTAGATCTGGTATTTTCAGTTGAGACTTTAAAATAAAATAAACTTATTTACAGTAACCTCATTCACACTAAACACCAAAAACAAAGCAGTAAAGGCAAAAATTCTACACAAAACCTAAATTTAAACTAAAACACATATCGACATGAGATTATGGAGTATGATTGATTATGTAATGCTGTGTGCAATAATTACTGAACACAAATAAATTTCGAATTTAGTAATTTTAACAGATGGTAACAACAATAACAACAAAAGAAATTACATCTATAGTTGTATTTCTCTAAAATTGCCTGAGTTAAATTGATTAAATTCATGGCTACAGGCATACAGTATTTATAACTTTAAAACAACAATCTTTAAAAAATTTTTTTTTATAGGTATTGTTATTGGTTCTAAATGCCATAATTTAAATTACCAACAGGCTGGGGCCCGAACTGGGGTAGTTGGGCCAACTGGGGCAATCCTACGGGAGCAACTCAGTCTGGTCAGGGCGGCCAACAGTCTGCCTCTAGCGGTCCGACTGCACCAAGTGGACAAACTGGCAAACAACCACAACAACAACAACAACAGCAACAGCAACAACAGCAGCAACAACAGTGGCCTGCCAACTACACAGCGCAACAGTGGTATCAATGGCAGCAATGGCAACAGCAACAACAGAATTGGGCCAGGGTAAGGACTTTGTTTGTAATAGACAATGCAAACGGTGCTCTGAGGAATTGTTTGAGATGATTTCCTCATCTCCTTTTTATCATCGCATCTCCCGCCATCGGAGCAGAGTTCATCCATATCATCTGGAACTCGTGCGTTCATCGACAGTGCGTTTCCAGAGGTGTTTTTTGCTACGTACCATCCGGCTATGGAATGAGCTCCCCTCCACGGTGTTTCCCGAGCACTATCACGTGTCCTTCTTCAAACGAGGCTTATGGAGAGTATCAAGCGGTAGGTAGCGGCTTGGCTCTGCCCCTGGCATTGGTGAAGTCCATGGGCGACGGTAACCACTCACCATCAGGTGGGCCGTATGCTCGTCTGCCTACAAGGGCAATAAAAAAAAAAAACACTCAAAATGAAGACCACTGCCAACAAGCACTTTCTGGAGCTTTTGTTGGCAACAAAAACAATTCCAATCTATCTCAGGAACGTTTGCAATGTCAGTTGTATTGTTTTATGGCGAGAGTTTATCTTTGTTGTCACCTTTTTATTAAGTTTGTTTTCTATGGCTTTTATAAGCTGTTCATATATTAGAGTAAGGCATCATATATTAATAGCGATCGTATCAGAACTTTTACAATGTACATTAAAATCATGTCAGAATCCAAATAATAAAATTGACAAATTAAATTTAATGTCAAAAGTGTGTATAATAATATATCAAAATGATTTCACTAAATGCAATATGAAATGTAATATTTCAGTATCAGCAAGGCAATCAGCAGGGAGGTGGCGCTCAGGACCCACAAGCTTGGGCCGCTCAATATTATCAGGTACATACTTTACTTTTATAATATTATAAACTAATTCCAAGATCTCTCGTTAATTGTTTTTAATGTTCCGACAGAACTACGGTAACACCAACTCTACAAACAACGGCAACACTGGCAATGAGAAGAAGTGATGAGACGCGGCACACGCATCACCTGATACCAGCGAGCGGTTAAAGCATTGCAAACATATTTTTATAAAAACACCTGTTTTACATAAGTAAATAAATAAATAGCTTTATTTCACTATTTTTAAGTCACACGAGTGTTGGGTTTTATCTTAAGAGTTTAATTGGTTTTTGTTTTCAATTTCCGTAAAGTTTTTGTAAACTAAAAACTTTTTGCACGAGACGCGGCCTTCTGTTGCCGATGTCGGCTAAATGTTCACGGTAGTGAGGCGTTGTCATTTTAGTTTATTGTTAGTATTAAAATTATATTATAGTAGGGTTTAATTTGTAAGAGGTACCTAATGACTAAAGTTTATTTAGTGCTGCGTGTGAATGAATGTGTGAGCGAGTGAGTGTGTGACGTTCTTTCGTTTAGATCGTAATTATGAATGAATGAATACTGATGATGGCAATGTAATAAAACACTAAGCATAATCGATTGAGTTTTATTTTTCTGATTCTGTGCGTGCTCAGTACGAGTTTACGTTTTCGATAGCGTAAAAGTTTACTCAAATTTTTATGGAGTGGGAACAGCGCCCCTAGCGGCGGATATAGGCAAACGTTCCAATTCCATACAAATTTGAGTTAACTTTTACGTTATCGAGAACGTTAGAAAACTCGCACTAAGCACACTGGTTCGCCGTTTATTTGAAAGGAATTGAATTAAAAGCATGTAAATTAAAGTACCTATTCATTAAAGAAATTGTAATCTAAAATGAAGTTAAGTTTTAAATAGCGTTCCTATCCCTTTTTATTTTAGTATGATAAATTGACAAAGGCGTCGAACACTTACCATTGCTTTATTGTACTCCCGCATTGAATGTTGAGTTCGGTAAGTTGAAAATTAATGTTCCAAGAAATTCTGTAGAACGATTTAACAAATGACTTATTGAAAAGATTTTTATTAATTTTTATTCCGAGTTGTCGCCTCAATAAAATGGCCAATTATTCACAAATATTCGCGTTTTGTTAAGTAGGTAGATAATCTACCACGTTATGCATGATGTTGAGAAATTCCCAAAATATGAAAATGATTTTATTTTATTTAGTTATTGCCCTTGTAGGCAGACGAGCATACGGCTCACCTGATAGTGAGTGGTTATCATGGACTTCAGCAATGCCTGGGGCAGAGCAAAGCCGCTGCCTACCGCCGAACCGTTATGTGAATAACGTTGACCATCAGGAGAAGAGATTAATTTATTTATTTTTCACACAACTACCAATAGGTAGTGTTTCCTTAGTCACCTTAAAAATAACGTTTTCCTCCCGCTGTACAGGGAAGAAAGTGTAACTTTTCTCCCTCGGTTCTGACAAGTGCGCATGCGCGTTAGTGTCTACGTCTGCTCTCACGCACCTAAAATTCTCCGCCATTGTTGTGCTCGGGTAATTTGCAATATTGTGTTTAGTGTAAAAGTGAAATAAACAAAAGGCAATAAAATTTAATAGTGAAGTATTAAACAAAGATGAGTTCATCAGACACTTCTTATTCAATTAGTAGTAGTTCATTTAAAAATTACAAAACAGTTAAATTGTTTTTTTTTGTATAAATTTCCTCCCTACGCGGGAGAAAAGTAGGAAATGTCCCACTTTTCTCTAGCGGTGCACAATGTACTATTTCTAATGTTCAAATTAAACACGTGCTTTACAACTTAATAGTTTATTTGCTTCGTTCACATTCAAATTTATTCATAACCTTTTATTTTAATAATCCACGAGTTAAATTCACACAATAATCTTAATACGTGGTAGAATAAACATTTTTAATTGTCTAAATCCAATTTCTTTATAATACACAATTTCACTACGATATATCAAATTCCTATTGCATCACATTTTAGTAATTAATTAAACTGGCACTGATAAAATTAAAAAGGATAGATTATAGTGAAATATGTTACTCTCTGTTTAAGTAGAATTCGCGCGTCAATTTGTGTGCAAAACTAGGTATAATTTACACCCAGATACTATTTTTTATTGCATAAAACTCGCGAAACCGGACACTTAGCCTTAACTGGTTTGCGGGGCCCATAGCTGTAAGATTGATTGATTGCCGCCACTCACCTGGAGAAATAAAGTCGAAGACAAGTTTATTTCATGTCCAACGGCTATCCTATCCTTGAAAATAGCGCGCATAACTTTTTTTTATTTTTTTATTGCCGTATAGGCAGACGAGCATACGGCCCACCTGATGGTGAGTGGTTACCGTCGCTCATGGACGTCAGCAATGCCAGGGGCAGAGCCAAGCCGCTGCCTACCGTTTAATACTCTCCACAAGCCTCGTTTGAAGAAGGACATGTCATAGCGTTCGGGAAACACCGTGGAGGGGAGCTCATTCCATAGCCGGATGGTACGTGGCAAAAAAGATCTCTGGAAACGCACTGTGGATGAACGCAGTGGCTCCAGGTAGTATGGATGAACTCTACTCCGGTGGCGGGCGGTGCGATGGTAAAAACGAGATGTCGGTATCATCTCGAACAATTCCTCAGAGCAATGCAGCGCTTATATTTCTTCATCATGGAAGTCATTCGTGAACACGATTATATGTATTTCCTTAGAAAAATTGATACTTTTCGTTGGGATTTGAACATCGACACACTGCCATCGGTCGATGTGAGTACTACATCTGGCGTTTAGTTTAGAAAGACTTGCTTTTTTAAATTGTTAGTTGTTACTGTTGCTGAGAAGAAGAAGAAGAAGAAGAAGAAGAAGAAGAAGAAGAACAAGAAGAAGAAGACCTAGGTACTAATTACGTACGGGAATCGAACACGGCGGAGTTTTAATCAGGCCGACTAATTACTATATTACGTAAATATATATGTAGTACAACAAGGTTGTCCCATAGACGATTCGTGACTTTTATTTTTACGAGTAAATACAAATTCAAGAAATAATGATCTTAAATGAATGATCTTAATAATAAAAAAAATATGGTACCACCACCCTGCTTATTTCTGCCGTGAAGCAGTAATGCGTTTCTGTTTGAAGGGTAGGACAGTCGTTGTAACTATACTTGAGACTTTAGAACTTATATCTCAAGGTGGGTGGCGCATTTAAGTTGTAGATGTCTATGGGCTCCAGTAACCACTTAACATAAGGTGGGCTGTGAGCTCGTCCATCCATCTAAGCAATAAAAAAAAAAAAACAAAGTAGCAAGATTCAATAAAGACATGTTCGATAATTGTACATATATCTGTTAATAAAAACATTTATAAAATAACTACATATTGTCTTTGTCTTTTTGAAATTAGCATTAGAAGAGGACGACTGACCTCGTATTTCTTCGTCTGAATTATTTAGAAAATTTATGAACAGTCTTCCGGCGGAAGAAAGATGCCGGACGTTTCGTACCATATGCGCAATAGTTAAAGGATTACAGGATATAAATCCCCGGTCCTATCGAAAAAAAAATGGGTTCGTTGGACCGATTTGATTGTTGTTTGTTCGTCTCTGACCGACAGCCTTAGAAGATTAACTAGACGAGGAATTATTTACCCATTACTATTTATATGACAGATATAATTAAAAAAAGAAACATGAATAAAAACAAGACATGAAAAAACTAAAAATAATCAAGAATCTTTATTTCTGATATATTACGTAAAACACTAATCTTTGAAATACAAATTATGAATGCATTAATCGTAATAGGTTCAAGGCAGATAATTCAAAGGAATAATATGAATAAAGTAAGATTTTGTCACAATTTTAGATGAGAATTCGTCTTTTGACAAATATTAACGTAATTTAAAATAGATTAAGATTCAAATTTGACGTATTTAAAATAATATTACCTAAATAAGAGTTATCTTATAGAACTTAAAATTATTTTGACACTTCAGTGCAATTTATTTTCAATATCTTGAAAATATATTCGGTAAGAATTTTTTTTGTTATACGTAAATATTCTATTTAGCTTTGAATACATTAAAAACCAAACATTGGGGGAAGTATTTAAAATAAAACATGGCGTTATTCTTTGGCTTTGTTCAAAATTTTTTTTTTAAATCTTGGGAATGATTACAAGAGCGTAATTAAATTTTAGTAGGTACTTACATTTTACTCCAAAAGTCGTTTTAGCTGCTTTTCTAAAAATAAAACTATATCTTATACCTTTAAACGAGCAATTCTTGTTTATATACATATATAATCTGAATCTCGGAAACGGCTCCAACGATTTTCATAAAATTTAGTATACAGGGGATTTCGGGGGCGATAAATCGATCTAGCTACGATTTATTTTCAGAAAATGTTGTTTTATTCGTGTTTTCAATAATAAACTCTTCCCGACATCTATTGGCGAATAATAATAAAATTTTTCTTAATTGGGGGCAACTAGCCGCTTTAAAGACACAAGATGGCGTTATCAAAAAAAAAAAACCAGCAAAGCTCGGTCATTATCTAGTTATTATGATTTGGGAAATTACAAAAATATTGGAAAATATGGAATAGTAACTCGTTCTTTGAAACAGTTGATAATAATTCCCTTTTTCTGTTATCAGTGTTTTATGTTATGTAACTTATATTTTTTATTATATTCAATTAAACTTTTAAAGACACGTTCCGTAACAAGTAAACGAACTAAATGATTGCTGCTGATAAAAATCTATGATTAAACATTTTATTTTGTTAACGCATTTTTATATATTATTTTTTTCAGATATGATAATTCTGATCAGATTTCTGTTAAACAGTTTAGCGTGTTTTTGTTGCGAGAGTGATGGTATTTAAGAGACTCCATAAAATTATTGATTGATTCGGAGGTACATCTGGAGCGAATCCAGGGTATGTAGGGTATGTTTTGAAAAAAGAAGTATGTCTGGAGCATTTAAGATTCGTATTACGACATAAAAAAAAAAACACAACAAGCCTGGTGTTCGTTTTTGTCAAAAGAATCACTAGGATTACAGCCTATCTTGGTCACATTTAGTGCACAGGTTTAGAGATAGTGACATTTCTTATCACTTCTCATCATCAGAAAAGGAGCTGGATGGGACACTACAGCACAGCGAGTCAATGAAGCATCTATCGCGTTTGAGTAGCAACCGCGTAACAGAAGAAGACCTGTGTGCTTAGTGTGAGTTTTTTAACGTTCTCGATAGCGTAAAAGTTAACTCATATGCAGTTGGAACAGCACCCCTAGCGGCTGACGTAGGCAAACGTTCCAACTCCATACAAATTTATGTTAACTTTACTAAAAACTCGCATTAAGCACACTGGTCACAGTACACACTTGGCGACGCACCGTGGCTAAAGAGATGAGGACTGCCGGCCTGATCTAGAGAGAGAAGTGGAGACAACTGAGGTGAGAGTATTATATAACAGCGGCATACCCTAGGAATACAATAACAATACCCCAGCTCTTCGACAAATACAAAGGCCAACGCAGGGTCAACCGATTTCAATTTTTTTTACATTACGTGTTATGCAAAACATAATAATAAATTATT